TGGCTAAGAGTGAGCAGGCTCCAGGATACGACAAAAATCGGGACAATGATGCTTGGAGGCTGGAAGTTTGGGAATCGCTGTTCCGAAGGCAGTGTTCCGCATATTTGGAAATTAACATCTAGCTTTCCTGTAGTTGCCTCCTGGAAATATGTCCAAACAATCGGAAAGCAATCGGACCACAGCGGCACTGCATGAGGATGAGATATCTTGCTAAAATCCTCATGGTTTCCAAATATCTTCTAAATATAACAAATCAAGCCACCCCCCTCCAACATCAGTAATTAGGCAACGGAGGGCTCACAGGACTTTGAAATCCCTCATCTCTGCTGTCAAATGTAATCAAATCTTCCCCAGACTTCTGGTTTTCCGGATTTACCCAAGGCCCCGTGACTTTTATCAGCAATTTATTTTTCTCTGCCAACGTCGCCTCATTAGAAGACTCAAGAAAAATTCAAAATTAAATTGTTCTGCCGTCTTCTCTCCGGGGCCACGGATGCAATCAAAACTTACTTCCCCTAACTTGCTCGTCCCTCGTTTTTCAGACTAACAAGGGTTTTCATTGGTTGCCTATTTTATCCTTAGCTCACCCCTTCTGCAGCTGTGTCTAGACCACCTTCCTCATCAGTCGCAATTCATTTTTTTAGCCGTGGCATTTAGCAGCTTCCCAGACCCCGAGGCTGCAGTTTGGGAGACATTCCCAGAGGCTGTGAGTCACACGGAAAGAAGATAAAGCTTTCGGGCAGGGAGGACTGATCAGGACTGCCCGCTCCGCTTCTGCCGGTCCAAGGAAAGAAAGGCAAGGCAAGACAACCACGGGCAGGGCTTCCCAGCTTGAGGTCTGTGATTTTTTTCCAGAGCGCATGCCTCTCCTATAAATATCTTTGATGACAACATCTGTACGTGGCTTTGTGTTTCCCTCCACGGCAAACAATAATGCCCATTTTACATGCAAACGTAGGGAAATATGCTTGGAAGAAACAGACCCTTTGAAAACAGAAGGAAGCCGGGGGCGCCTGGGTGGCTCCTTCAGTTCAGCGTTTGGCTTCGGCTCAGGTCACCATGTCCCCGTTTGGGAGTTCGAGCCCCGCGTCGGGCTCTGTGCTGACAGCTCAGAGCCTGGAGCCTGCTTCGGATTCTGTCTCTCTCTCTCTCTCTCTCTCTCTCTCTCTCTCTCGGCCCCTCCCCTGCTCATGCTCCGTCTCTCTCTTTCTCTCTCAAAAATAAATAAACATTAAAAAAATTAAAAATTAAAAAAACACAGAAGAAAGCTACATTGAATTTAAATAAATCAGGAGAAACTAAATGAGTATCTTCAAATGTAATCTAAAAACTATTTGCTGAAGCTGGAGCTGCATTAGAAGCCTCTCATTTATTGTTAAGGGTGGAGACAAAAATTAAATGTCAGTTAGGGAAAGTGTACATTGGGGGCAAACCCTGTCTTTCCACAGCTGAAAATGCCTTGATCATTCTTTCATGCTAAGGTTTTATCTTTTGTAGCTTCCTCTCTTTAATGCCATCTCTTCTTCCAGAAAATTCTGTGCCATATTCTAGTATTCCTCATGGGCACATTTTTAGTTCCTCCGGCTCCCGGTGCAAAGCTATAAGTTCAACAAGGCAGGCTTGGGCAACAAACAGCACAGGAACATTTTTCCTTTTCTCACATCTCTCCCATCTATATCTCTGCGGATTTGTGTTAAGCGTCACTCTTGAAGGAATAATCAGCCATGAAAGTTCTCAGCTCTTTCTCACGCCCGCGTGAATTTGACCGGATAGGCTTCTCTCTCTCTCTCTTCTTTAACGGCCTTCTTGAGATATGACTGATACACAAAGAATTGTACGTATCTAATGTGTAAATTGGATGAGTTCAAACAGACGCAAATACCCCAATCAAGGCGATAGGAATATCCAACAACTCCAGAGTTTCCCTGCGTCCGGGTGTATGTGTCCGGGTGTGTGTTCGCTTGTGTGTAGTAAGAACAATCAGCCTGAGATTTACCCTCCCGGCGAATGTTGCAGGGCACAACACAGTTGTGAAGGATTTAGCGGATGCCTAGAACCTGTTCATCTAGCGTAATTGAGACTCTACACTCGCTGCACGGCAATCCCCTTACCACCCCTGCCCCCGCCCCCCAGGCCCTGGAAACCAGCATTGTGTCAGCCTCTGTGGCTGACAATCTTAGGTGCCTTTATGTCCGTGGACTCAGGCACGGTTTGTCCTGCTGTGACTGACTGATTTCACTTGGCACAGCGTCCCCCAGGTTTATCCATGGCGTCGCAAATGGCAGGGCCTTCTTGATTCGCTCATCTGTTGATGGTTGGGTCGTTTGGGTAGGCTGTTGAGAACGGTGCCGCGGTGCTCATGACCCACGGCCTCCTCTGCGCACGGTCATTGCCGGATGATCCACACGTCTCACTCGGCCGTTTCCTTTCTCTATGGCAACCGGCAAGGATGCTTCCGCAGACTGCCTCGTCAAGCGGCCACAGGTCGTGGGTGGGATCGTGGGAGGGAGACTGCAAGGCTGGCAGAAACTCCCCGGTCCCAAAGCACCCGCTCATTGGCTCAGTATCCAGGCCGCGTGGGAGGGCAGCGCCACTCACGGAGGGAGTCAGCCCATCAGCCCGGGGTTGGAGGCCGCTCTCCTACTGCCTCAGATCGGGCCGTAGCCTCCACGAAGATGAGCCGTGACCCCCTGTCTCTATGGTTACCATGGCCCTGTGACAGTGGCCCGAGTTCTTACAGCGCCTTCACGGCCGACTTCACGTGTCTCAACCTCCCTGCCTCCCACCGGAACTCTCTGTTTATTAACACATCTTAGCGAGTGCTAACAAACACACTAAGTGTCATTGCTGGTGACGGGGGCTGGGACAGGTGCAGCGACCTTTTTTCTCCTGGGGCTTTCGGTCTAGTAAGGGAGGCAGATATTAAACAAAAACCGCACAAATTACGTATCATATAGTATGTGTTTACGTAAGAATTACAAAATCATCAGTTATGATTTGCCCTAAGAAGGTGGAGCGTGGGGCGTTTTGACAAGAGTAAGGGCAATCAGGAAGATACAGAAAATGCAGGAAAATGCAGATGTTCTCCGCTCCTAAGTGCTTACCAGAGTTGCTGAGAGAGCACTAATGATCGAGACTCCTACACTTGGGTCTGCTCCCCCCGTGACGGGGTTTCACAGCCTCAGCATTACTGACACTCGGGACTGGACAGTCCTTCATCGCAAGGCCCGTCCTGTGCATTACAGGACGTGAACAGCATCCCTGGGCTCTATTCACTAGCTGCCAATTGCAATCCTCCCCACCCCCACGAGTGCCAGCCAAAAACATCTTTAGACATCGCCAATTGTCCCCGGGGGATAAACCTCCTCCGGTGAAGAAGGACCTGTTATAGGAGGACCCACGTGTCTCTTGGGCTCCTGGAATGGGGCTGGGAGTCTCTCACTGCCGAGCGAGCACTTGAACCCCCAACAGTCCTCGCGTTAGACTCCTGCTCCAGATCGCCCACAGCATAAACCTTAGCCCCTGAGTGGGACCCATGAGGCCCTTCATGACCTGGCAGCCTAGCCAGAATCACCTGCCGGAAGTGCCCACACCCACGTCCAGCCTCATAAGAGAACTTGCTCCTTTGGGAACCACGCTGCTGTGTTCTCGCACGAGTTCTTTCTTCTCCTCTTCCCTTCCTCATCCTCATCCTCTTCCTCTCTCCCCTCCTCCCTCCCTCCTTATTCTGTCTCTGACCTTCCGTCTTCTTGCTGTCTCTCTGGAAGAACTCCTCATCAAGTTTCCGCTTTCATTCCATCTCATGTGTGAAGCCTGCCTGAATCGCCCCTGACGGACTCAGACACTCCTTCCTAGACTCTCCCCGGATGCCTTCCGCCTGCCCTTCGTTGTAGCAATGACCCCACTGCCTCCGAATTGTTGGCATATATGTCTGTCCCTCTCCAGACCACAGCCTCTTTGAACGCAAAAAAGAAATTTAAGGTGTTTATTACATTTTAACCAACATTTCCAGGTATTTTACAGAGGGAGAGTTTCCCTCCCGACACTTACCATAGCCATTTTCTCTCTTCCCCACCAGAACAGAAGGCACATGAGGGCAAAGGCATCATCTCCACCATTGGAAGCTAGCAGCTGGGACAGTTCTTGGTACATAACCACATCCAGTAAATGCTGAATGAATGAACGAACGAATGAATGAATGAATGAATGAATGAAAAACAGAAGGAGTTGGTGTGATACAGATGAGAGGCTCATAGACCCACCACGCACTCTCCAATCCCACCTCTACAACCCCCAACTCCCTTGGGGACTGTGGGTGAGATGGTCTATCTTCTGTACATGAGTCTGAGGCTACTCTCTCATGATTACTTGCAAGGCCACCTGGATTTTTAAAAAATGTTTATTTATTTTGAGAGTGAGCAAGCAGGGGAAGGGCAGAGAGAGAGAGAAGGGGAGAGAGAGAGAATCCCAAGCAGGGAACTCTTGAGCTGAAATCGGAGTCAGACACTTAACCCACTGAGCCACCCAGGTGGCCGGAGGCCGCCTGGATTTTACCAGACACCGAAAACGCATATTACTTTATCTAAATGAATGTGCCACATAAGTGTGTGTGCAGCACCACAGTCACCCAGAGCCGCTCCGTCACTGCACTGCCCGCCACATAAACTCCAAATGCCTCCGGGGGGAAGTCAGGGCCTCCAGTGACCTGTGCTCAGTCTAGCTTCCCAGCATCACGTTCCACCGGGTCCCTTCGTTCTAACTACACTGGAATGGGCTACCTTCCCAACGCTCTATGCCTCTGGCCTTTGCTCATCTCTGCCCTGAAGAGCCTTTTCCTCTGCAGCCTTCAAAGACGAGGGCAAGTTGAAACGCCACCTGACCTGGAGACTCACCCACCCTAATCGCAAAGCGTCGCTAGGGGGATGGCCTTCGGCTACCACGCACCCAGCGGCACCAACCCCACACACGCATGCGCACACCGAGCCCTTCTCCTTTTCCAGGCGACGATCGCGATGGTTCTGCGACTGATGCACGCGAGGCAGAGCAGCGGAAGGCAGCCTCCTCCTCCAGCCACGCTGCGTCTCGGACTCCGCCAGAGAACTCCCACGACCTGGCCCTTCAGTCTCAAGGGACAACTTCTGAACATTTCCCGGGGAACCTTCTGGATCACGCAAGTGAGTTCGGTTGTTGTTGTTGTTGTTTGAAAATCTTTGCCACACCCAAAGAATTCTTCCTCGCGGGGCCAAAGAATGACTTAGAGATGACTAAGGAAGGATCAGCCCCTGCAAGGAAGGATGACTGGGAAGGATCAGCCCCTGCAAGGCGCAGAGGACGGGGCGGGGCAGCTCCGGGTGACGCATGCGCAGAGGAGGCGGCTCCTTCTAGGATGTCCTCTTAGAGACACCGGAAGGACTGGATGTGCAGCGTTTAATTTATTGTTTAAACACCCTGAAGACATTTGGCAAAATGTTAAGCTTTGCTAAAGCTGGGTAGTACGTACAAAGGTGTCTGTTATTTTCTTCTTCGTGCTTAGCTGTGAATTTGCCATGTAAAAGGAAAAAGGAAGAAAAGAAGGAAACACACGGTCCTTTAATGCAATGCCTCTGGCAAGGAAAAGTCAAAAGATATAGAGGCATTGGTATTTCCTGCCGGAGCAAATCCGAAATAAATTCAGCCAGCAACGTCTTCAACCTCCAGGTCGCCAACGTCGGATTAGTCACGTTTGCCCACAGGGTTGCATCAAGGCCGTGTCCTCGGCTTGTCAAGGTTCAAAGCCCAGCACCCCCCCCCCCCCCCCCCCCCCCCCCCCCCCCCCGCGTGGTAGCTGCAACTCAGGAGCGGTTAACTGAACTCTCTCAAACAGGGTTTTCATCTGTAAGTGGAGAGAGCTAGATCCTACCTTGTAATGACTAAAATAAGCACTTCGCATCACGTGTCATGTAGAGAAGTACTCAAAATATATGTGAGATTATGTTACATAAGACGGAGGTTACACAGAAAAAGTGTCTCCTCTTTGTCTCCACCAAACCGTGAACCTTACTGACCATCCCAGATCAGCTACTAGGTGAGTGTTGAAAGGCTTTTGTAGGTCCCTTCCAGGTGTTGGGATGACAGAGAACGCGGCTTTTACCGTTTAGACGGTTTCTGGATCATCCACAGCCACCTGCTCCGGGGACCCCACCCCGTTTTCCGGGGAGGAGCTCGTTAAAGCGACCCTTTTTTGTGTGTTCATCTGGCTTTCACGGCTCCCCTCTTTCGTGCCCGTTCCCTCCGCTGTGGTGGCATGTGAATTTCTGCGTCTTGTCCAGCAGGCTGGGAGCTCCTTGAGGATGGGCACTGTGTCTCAGTCATCTGTGGATGCCAACCTGCCCACGGAGCGCCTGGCACAGAGCAGGTGCTCCGAAACTGGCGGGCCAATCAGGTGTGCTGTCTCCATTCTGGAGATAAGAATACCCAAGTTTAGACAGGTCATGTAAACCTTTGTACGTGTTCTTTGTTGTGTCTGGAATGTGTGTCCCACCTGCTGTTCCCGGAAGGCTCCTACTCCTTCAAGGGCCAAAGCAAAGAACACCTCTGTGGGGCCTCGTCTGCCCCCTTCTGGCTGGCAGAGGTAGCACATCCCTCCGATTCCCTAGCGCTCTGAATGCTATCTCTACGGAGACTGTTTTCCTCTCCACCTGGCTATGAAGCCCTGGGTGGACAAGGTCTCCCTCCGATTCAATTCTATCTCCTTCGCGTGTAGACTGTGAATGTGCAGCCCAGGCTATGTTCTACCAGCTTAGGATGTAGGCCTGCCCCACATCATCTTTGTCGGTCAGCATATTCTGAGTTCCAGTGGATGGAAACCCATCTAAAGATGGATTAATCAGTAACACGGTTTATTGGTTCATTAATGAAAATTCCGGGCATAGATTGCAGATTCCTGTCGGTCTCTCCTTGTGTTGTCTCTTGTCTTCTGGGTGTACTTTCCTCTTTCAAAAAGCTATTACTCCGTGGAGGTTCTCGGTGGCTTTGTGCCTGCAACTTCCCAGATTCCAGTCCAGCGGAAAGAGATGAGAACCTTCTCAAGTTCTGATAAGGTGCCCAGTTTTCATTGGTTCTGGAAGGGTCGCTTTTACAGGACAAAGCCAATCACTTTGTCCGTAAGTCTGTGAAGCTCCAAATGGCTGGGAGCGGATCCGATGCTGGGAGGGAACTCAGTCTCCACGTGAACCACGCGCTGAGGAGGGAGAGGTAGGTCCCCAGAAAAATATGGGCACTGCCACCAAGAACGGCAGATAGATGCTGACTGTTCTCAGTGAGCTTGCGATCTAGTGGGGAAATCTAGAGAAACAACTTTTTTAAGCAACTTTTTTTAACAGCAACTTTTTTAAGAGTTTTTATTTATTTCGAGAGAGAGAGAGAGAGAGAGACAGAGAATCCCAAGCAGGCTTCCCACTGTCAGCACAGAACCTGATGCGGGGCTCGAACTCACAATCCATGAGATCATGACCTGAGCTGAAATCAAGAGTCAGACGCTCCACTAACTGAGCCACCCAGGTGCCCCGGAAAACAGCAATTTTAATTCAGTATGAAAACACTGTTGACGGAAATGCACGAGGGATAAGGGGGTACGCAGAGGGGGCAGCTGAGGGCCACAGCCGAGTGGAAGGAATCAAGGAGGGCTTCTTGAAGGAAGTGACAGTCGCGCTAAGCCAATCTAGATACTACGTGAGTGGCTACTGATGGGATGAACTAGTGCATACCTTGTACCAAATGACACAGTTGGATCTTTGTAGAACTGGAATTTAAACCGGGCTCTGTTCACTATTCAAAGTCTAACGATTTTAGCAGTTTGTCAAGCTGGACTTGTTTCTGTGAGGCAATGTTTTCCAAATTCCACGTCAAATCAGAGTCGGCTAAGAATACAAACACACTTCAGAAGGATGGCTGAGCGTTCGGCTGAGCCCACAATAACTTATTTAATTCACAGTATACATGAAATACTGTACATTGGCAGTGACATCATTCACAACTGCTATATTTCACATTGCCAATCCTCAGTATTCCGCCCACATTACGGACTAAGTAGGCTTTGTTAGCTGACTCAATCTTCATTCATAGCATAAATAGCAAAAATAAACACATTCGCCGCACAAAGTCACTCCAAGTTTTAAACAACTGTGGCAAACTTGAGCTTTTGAAGCATTGGGCGGAAAATTAAGGTAAGGTCCGTTTATCCTTTTCCTTGGATCTTTATGTGATCATCCCTAAACCAGCCCTGATTTCTTTCAGGTGATTGGAATAATAGCCGGGTTCGTGATTGGTTTAACGCCTACGATTGTAACGGCTGGAGGATTTGCTGTCATCTCCACCGTGGCTCTAGAACACCGAAATCCTTTGCTGATAGCAGAGTTTTGCGGGGACAAATAGTTCATAATACACGTTCTCTTTTCTGTCCTTTGGAGACTCCCAGCATGCAAAGTGGCCATTCTCTTTCCCTGCCCCATTTCAGGCAAAACATTATGTTCTGGCTAGACGTGGTTTATAAATCTTGCCTCTGGCGCCTCAGAGCTGTGTGACCTTGAACAAACTTCATCTTCCCTCAGTCTTGGTCTTCTCACGTGCAGAGTGAGGACAATGGTTCCTTCCTTACAGGTCGGTTGTGTTGATTCGATGAGCTGAGGTATGAAAGCTCTTTGTGAATGACAAGGCGCTGTCCAAGTTTTAGGCGTCATCCTCAGAATTAGACTTCTGACACTGGCCTACATTCTTCCAAGTGGTTCCCCAACATTACCGTAAAAGGCAAGCCCCCAAACTGTTTATGTCATAGAATCTTTTTTTTTTAAATTTTTTAAAACATGTATTCATTTCTTGAGACACAGAGAGAGACAGTGGGAGCTGGGGAAGGACAGAGAGAGGGGTAGACACAGAATCCGAAGCAGGCTCCAGGCTCTGAGCTGTCAGCACAGAGCCCGACGCGGGGCTCGAACTCACGGACCGTGAGATCATGACCTGAAACGAAGTTGGACGCTGAACCGACTGAGCCACCCAGGAGCCCCGTAGTAGAATCATTTTGTAATGACAGAAATAATGTATTATTTGCTGAAATTATCTAATGAGTAGACCTGTACAGCATTTGATAATTTTATCTTGTTACTTAGGGCAAATTGCTCGAGATGACATACATTTGAAAACCGCGTTGTTGTTTCGGTGTCTGTGGTGTCTTTTTGTCTGTTTTTTCTTATATAAAAAAGAAACTTCAGTACAATTTTGTTGTACCAAGATTATCAGCGATGGTTTCTAATTCATTTATTTTTACTTTTCCTCTTAGAAACCAGTTTGTGGAGAGACATCTTCTTTCAAGCATTTCTACTGGCCGCGTGCTTAATCATTTGTGCATGTGCAAGGTAATTCAGATTTTATTTGCACGCAGCAGTGTTTCATAATTAAGGAAGCTGTAACTGATTGATAATGTCCTTGCCTTATTCCACAATGCATGTTCGGTAGCTCTGTGGTTAAGATCTGTTCATTTGCCCGTGCCCCTTCAGTGCCCCTTTTGCGATCACGTCCCTCCTCTCATCATCTCACAAAGCATACGAAAGCCAGTGGATCTTGCTAGAAATTGGAATTTATTATGTATCATCCTTCGTTTAAATCCTCAGTGACTCCCTATTACGGATACAAACTAAGTAATCCCGCGTGGAGTTCAAGGGCACTTGGAGTCCCCACTGGGACTCCATCTTTCTCATTATGTTTTTATACCTTAACATAAAGTGTCTGTTCCTGGGAAGTCCACTCAGCACCTCAGATCACATGATGCTCTTGCCTGATTATAGGCATGTTTCTGTCCTAGCCTCGGTCCACCATACTCCTCCTATTCTTTTCTTGCCCAAGGGCAATGGTCATATCCCTCCTGTGCTAAGTGCACTTGTGCCTCAGGGCCTTTGCACTTGCTGTTTATGCCGCCTAGTGCGATCTTCTCTAAAAAGCTTCTTAACACGTGTCCCTTACTTCTTTCTGGAATCTGTTCAACGGTCACATCATCAGCGAGATCTTCCATGACAACACCGTATAAATAGCTTGCCACTCTCTCCACACACACACACCTCACTTTACTTGTCTTTACTTATCACTTACCACCTGACCTGTTATATGTTCAGCTGTTTAAATGTCAATGATCAATCTCTTTCCACAAGAATGTGAACTACCTGAGAGCATCTCCTTCACTTCTGTATCCCCAGTGCCAGGGGCTCATCGATATTGGTCAATCAGTGAAACAGAGATAAGTGGTCCAGACCTGGGGTCTTTGTGGTGCTTGTGCTCCGGTCAGCAAATGCTGCTTGCTGTCACACCCCGCCTCCTGAGGGTCAGATACCTCACATCACTTGGGAGAGTTGTGTTTTTAAATACCAGGTCCTGAATCCCAACCCTTGTGATACGAATTTAGATCTAGTGAGAATCTGTATTCTAAAATAAGCGTCCCAAATAATGATGAGGTTTAAGAAGTATTAAGGCTTTTTGGATCACAATGGGACCAAAAGAACGAAACGTGGGGGAGGTCGTGCGCTAAAAATAAATTTGCAAAAGTCTGCATTGTATATCCCAGGTCAGAGGACCATTTGTGCACCAGCATCATAAAGGCCCGGTGAAATAACGTCATGAAGAAACATGATTGGCTTTATTGAACTTAGCGTTTCCCAACCATCGTGGATCATGGGACCTTTTATGTGATTTCACAGAACTGTCAGTGAAATGTTCCTCTTCGGTTAATTCCTGTAGATGCTCCCCATCCCCCCGCCGTGCCCCCACCTCTTAAGAAGGAAACTGGACAACCTGTCCCTTGAGCCTGAGCTGCATTTAGAAACTTGCTTCCAAGAAACAGAACCTGGAAAGAGGGGGAAAGGAAACTTCAGAAGCCGGGCAAATGTGACCTCAGGTGGTCAAGGTTAACATCAACAGGGCTAAGTTACGTGGATAGCATGTACCCTTGATGCGAGGTGATGAGAGTGGCACTTCACCCCTGTGGCCTTCTGGACCCCAGCCTAACCAGAGGAAAACTCAGGTCGAGGGACCTTCTACACGTTATCTGGACAGGACTCCTCAAACCTGTCAAGGTCATCAAAACCAAGGAGAGTCTGAGAAATTGTCATAGCCCAGAGGAACCCAAGGAGCCATGACTAAATGTCTGAGGCATCCCGGATGCCGTCATGGAACACGGGCAAATTAGGGAAAACCGTAAGTTACAAATGGCACATGGTGTTAATAGCGAGGCAGCAATGTTGGCTCATCACTTCCAACAATGTGCCATAGAAGCGTAAGATGCTGGTAATCGGGAAAGTTGCTGAAAGGTGTATGAGAACCCTCTGTACTATGTCTGTAACTTCCCTGTGTATCTAAAGTTGTTTGAAAAATAAAAAGATTATTGAAGTGAGAGAATGGTTACGAGAAAAATTATCGACATGGGTAATAGCATGAATGGGTCTCAGACATGAGTCTGTATCATTTCAGATACCTACAAAATTCAAGGAAAGGCGAAAGGAATCCATTATTATAGATAAAAGAAGAGTGGTTAATTCTGGGGGAAAGAATAGGAAGGATGGCAAAGGAAGCGTTAGAGACTGCTGGAAATAATTCTATATCTTGACTCGGGTGGTGAATGCAGGAGTTCAGGTTAAAAAAAACAACCACCGAGATGTGCACTTTAAAGGCTTTACTGTACATTTTTCAAATCTCAATTTAAACGAATTTTTTAAAGGCATACAAGGGGATGTCAAAAAGGGTATTCATCAAAATTTAACAGTGGCGGGGCGCCTGGGTGGCGCAGTCGGTTGAGCGTCCGACTTCGGCCAGGTCACGATCTCGTGGTCCCCGCGTGTTCGAAGCACAGGCTCTGGGCTGATGGCTCAGAGCCTGGAGCCTGTTTCCGATTCTGTGTCTCCCTCTCTCTCTGCCCCTTCCCCGTTCATGCTCTGTCTCTCTCTGTCCCAAAAATAAATAAACGTTGAAAAAAAATTTTAACAAAAAAAAAAAAAAAATTTAACAGTGGCTGCTTTAGGCCAATGGAGTTTTTCGATGATATTTTCCTTTCCCTTTGTATGTATTTATGACTTTTTCCAGTGATTCATGTTTTGAAACTAAAAACAACCAAGAAATTATTCTGTTTTGTTTTTTTTTTTTTTAAATCCACTCTCTGAAGCAACACCCATCAGATTGGTAAAAACCTGACATTTTAACACACTTTTGGGGTGAGGTGGTAAAGCAGTTGGATTTTCTCCTTTGTTTTATGTAGACGTTTTGTACTTTTGTGGTCACATTTCAGACTACGACTCGCTTTGAGTTAAATCGTTAAATTTTGTGTTCGGCTGTGATGTATATGCGGAGGCTCATTCTTTTGCATGTGGATGTACAATTGTTTCAACACTATTGTTGGACAGACTATCCTTTATCCATGAAATTCCCTTTCCTCCTCTGTTAAGACTCGCTTAACTGTATCTGTATGGGCTCATTTCTGGTCTCTCCATTCTTTTATTGACCTGTATGTCTATTGTCTGGCCAAAACCACACTATGTTTATTACTGAAGTTTTATAGCAAATCTTGAAATTACGAGACGTTAGTCCAAAAGAACAGCCCACACTTTGGAAATGCGTAACTAGTTTACGAAACCTGGGAAATTCTGTTGTTTCAGGTGCTTTCTGGGAGGGATATTTGCCAGTGTCCTCACGTGCCCATTGGTGATAACTACTGCCTGTAAGTAACAATCTCTCAAATTATTCCTCTGATCCCTGCCCTGTACTTCAGTCCAATTTTGGTCATTTTGAAGCGATTCTTAGATATTCTCTCTTTCTTATCCAAGATACTGTCACGTCGTTGTTTCTCAGCCTTGCCGACTATTTCGAAGCCACCACTTGTGCTCAGTAAGTGTTGACTGTGTTACCATCATCCTGACGAAGCTGACTGTAGCCAGCTACCTGAGACTGCTTTTGGCTGCCTAATGGATGGCAATGACCACGCACAGGAAGCGTCCCCGTCATCTGTCTCGAAGAATACTTTCTGTTAATGCTAAAATCTCATAGCGTTCTCATCCAGTCTCTTACATTTTTACCAGTTCTTCAAAATTGAGAAAATTAAGCTTCGAGGCAGTAGGACTTAATAAATAACGTGAACCTAAAATGCGTAGGTCCCCTGTTAAAGTGTTTTTATAGGTTCATAGCACTGCACTTTATAAATACCTATTAAGAGGCCTTTATCTTACAGTTCCCCAAATAGCTGGCAAACTGCCCATGAAATGGTCTCGCTTGCAAAGTGTGATGTCTCTGCCACCTCTCACTCACTTTACGATCCCCCTGCGTGCTGACTGCCCTGGCTCATCATATTTCAGAGTGTTGTTGGGGTCTGGGTGAGATGCTCACAGAATTTCAAACGGCCTGCAAAACCCCATCCCGTTGCAAGATGGATTGTGTTAATGACCCCCTCTTCTATATGGCTGCCAGAGGCCAGCTCCCATAGCTTAGAGACGGAGCTCTATAATTCAAATTAGCTCACCGGCCTTTGCTCTCGACGCTGTGCCGCCCTATTTACGAAATCACTGTGTTAATGCTGAAATCACAATGGGACTTGGTGAAGATTTATTTTGTTTAGGACTCCAGCCAGTATTGATTTCCTGACAGTCTGAGCGATGTTTCCCTTCCTTTCCTGGCATTCCAGGCTTCTGGGGACAGGCTTTGATATAGCCAAGATGTGGTCCACCTCGTGGTTAGAAAATTGGGTCCTGAGGTCACCCAAGAACTTCTTATTCTTTAGCCCTTGTCTATTAATAACATTTATTTAAAACTCCTCTAAGACCCTCACTTCCTACCCTCTGGATGCGGGTTATTCTCCGTGTCTGCAGAACTTAGAAGTGTACCTCAGCCAGCGCTGAGGACAGATTGGCACTCATGTTCAGCTTTCTGGGCTGTGATGTCGCACTGTTCAGGACCGGACCAACCAACGAGGTCTACACAAAAGACTTCCAGCCACAGAGCCACTTCGTAACTCAACGTCCAACTGTCACTGCTTGGCAGATGGTGTGCATGGTTTAAATCCCTTCCTTCTGGGTTTTAAGATGAATTTGTGCAATTAATTGAAAAGACCAGCCTCACCTTGTTAGGGACTGTAATGAGAGCAGAGTTTCTCAAAGCATGGCACGGGGACATCTGTTCTAGAACCAACTGGGGAGCGTCTATCCTGATTCCAGCTCTTCTGAATCCAATTCCTGAGGGATCTTCAGTTTTAACAACCTGTCTGGGTAATTCCTTGCACATCAACTGTGAGAACCCTGGAAAGATGGTTTGTAACTTCTTTACCACTTGATTTCTAAAGTGGCATCACTTAACCTTCCTAAATCTCTGCTGAGAACTTACGATACATTCTGCGCTGCGCTGAATGTCCAGTTCTGCTCAGCAGACATTGATGGAGTCTCTCCCAAGGGTCGCACACTTCCCCGAGGTGCCAAGGTTGTTGTGCCAAGGCCTCGGGATTTCTGAGTCTAAAGAGACATGTAAAGGGCAAGGTAAAGTCGCATTTAATAGGGTTAAGTGCAAGTACAGAGTTAGCACAGAGGCTAGGGGAACACCGGGACAGAAGTTCTGCCAGACTAGGAGGATGGGGGAAGCAGGCAGGGAAGGCCTCCTGGAATGCCAATCTCTGACCTGCAGGGGATAGTGTCACCTGTCGCTTTCAGGGCACCTCCCGCTGTCCTGAGCTCCTCATTTTGTTATCTCCTAAAAGAAATTAGACCAGGATTAGGATGATATTTCTCTCCTACACACTCTCATCCACAGCTTCAATAAGATCCCTCCTCCTTTGGTTATTTGTGTTCATACTTTAACTTGTTCTTCTCTTGTTCCCTCTCCATTTTTTTTTTTTTCTTATTTGCTGCCCCCTCCCCAGCCTCATGGACACACACTGTTGCATTTAAGACCCGTGAAAACAAGGACTGTTGACTTCATTTTTGTATCCATCTGAATGTCTTGAGAATAGCACATACACCAGGGGCGCCTGGGTGGCGCAGTCGGTTAAGCGTCCGACTTTGGGCTCAGGTCACGATCTCGTGGTCCGTGAGTTCGAGCCCCGCGTCGGGCTCTGTGCTGACAGCTCGGAGCCTGGAGCCTGCTTCGGATTCTGTGTCTCCTTCTGTCTGTTCCCCTCCCCCATGCATGCTCTCTCTCAAAAATAAATAAACGTAAAAAAAGAGAAGAATAGATACACCGTAAGTATTCATTAAATTGGATGGATTTGCTATACCATTTCTTAAAGTACTTCCTTTATAGCCAAAAGCTCCATGTCTGTATCTTAAAGATTTTGCAACCCTTTCCCTCGCACATAAACATATCCAGAAGCTAATAAGCCAAAGACATGGTTATTAATATCGAGAGTCAAGGATGACTCATGAGGCTCCTCCAACAATCAAGGATGAAAATCTAAGGGGTTGGAGGACAAGCACTTAATTCAGCTCAACACTCATGAGCGGAACAGCCGTCCCCTGCCTGTCTTGCAGCGTGCATAGTAGATTAGATTAGGGTCCTATCCTTTCACACTTCATAGTTCTCAAACAAACCTTTCCCACCCCGTAATGCGATTTTCATTCATCCACCTTCTTTGTTAAATTTAAAGCCTGCGAGTTTGGGGACTGTCTGTATCGTTCACCAGTGGCCCAAGCGTCCCTTCCAAATGAAGGCCATCACAGTTGTCCCATGTTGCCAGTCGTGCGTTAGCATCAGCAGGGCGCATTCTGCACTTTTATGACTTCAGAGGAACAAGATGGGTAACCTCTGTTCTCTCTGCTCTTACCTGTTGGAATGTGTGCTTACGTCACTGGCGAATGAATGAATAGACTATGGGGAAAACCCACCTGTTACCCTGTAAGGATTTCTGTTCTAGAGGAAGTGGTGCAGGTGGGGAAAGAAAACAATATAAAATGGTGGTTAAGTAAGCACCGAGCTGGGATAAAAATGAAAGCTCCTCCAAGTTGAGGCTCTACTCCTCCTAATTATGATTACTCAAGCTAGTGTGTGTGCGTGTGCGTGTGCACAGTGATTTCAGCAGTTACCGCGTTTCCTGTCTATCTGGATGAATCATGTATTTCTTTTCTCTTTTCTCTGCTCCAGGTTTGCCAAAATTTGCCAACCACGTAGGACGGTCTCTGACGAATGACTTCAATCTGAATATCCAGAAATTGTCTGATTTGCAGTCTGCTTGGAATCAACTGCTTTATTGGAAGGGAGTGAGCAACTACATTATTGAGAAAAAACCATTTTAATTTGGTTATGTGTCTTTTTTTTTTTTTTAAATCTCATTTTTGCT